AAGTGTGGTAGGCACAAACACGATGTCACAGCAAGATAACCGCTGACATACGGCTCACTGTAGGGCCCGCGCTAAACACACATCGTTAGGTTTTAATATGCAGCATTTTCATTTTTGACACTAAGAAGTACAGCACGGTGCCGTCGTGTGGCTTTCCTTGTCATCCTGTCATTCTGCTGGGCATTTTTTGCTTCACACTATTCTGTCACTTCTTACATTTGATGATTCCCGGTCTCAGCTTCCCTGCTTCTTCCTCGTCTCAGCGCTTATAATCCTCTTTCGCTCTTCAAGCTATGCCACCAGCTCTCAATTTTTTTCCACCACGTCATCTTTTCACCTACCTCACCTATCTTTTTTTTTTTATCTCTTTATCTTTTTGCCACTTCCCTCTTCCCTAACCTGCATGCTTGACCCCCCACGTCTTTGTGCTTTTTTCTTGTCACATTACCCATTTCTTTTATCTTCCCTTTGCCTTTTTGACTTCTTAATTTAATTTCTTTGCTACTCTTTTGTTTTCTCATAGTAAAGAGTAAAGGAAAAGAGGGAGGATAATGGAGTTGAGGGGAAGAAGGAGGGCAGTGGGCTGACAGAGGGAGTCCCATATGCAGCGGGCTCATTAGAAGATGGGAGGCGAGTCAGCGGCAGAGACACACTAGCAGGTATCCATACCCACCCCCCCCTCTCTCTGTCTGTCTCCCTCACACATATTGCTGGCTTCCTGGACTCATTCCAACACTGACATATCACTATCTTCTCTCTCCCTCCCTGTCTCCTTCCTGCTGCGCTTCTGAAAGTCCCGCTCTCATTAATCACCACCGCGTACAATACACAGCAATCGGTGAATGATTTTACCTTTTACCACCTACCTGCACTATGAGGCCATATATTTTTACTATATGTGGCATCAGTGGAAATCGAGCCATAAATCCGAGGCATTGTTAAAATTGGACACGGTTTTTTTTCCTCTTCTTTTACAGCAAAAAGAGAAGTGTGTGAAAGAGGAAAACAAAATAGTCAAGGGCACTTAAGAAGCCTCCATGCCTATCTGCTGCATGAGCTTGGCCCAGCTTTCGTAGCTAATTCTCTAGTCTCAACAACCATCTCCCAAAACGGGGAGAAGCCCCTACCCCACCCCACATTCACCTTATTTGTCAAAATGAAACTTTTCCATATGGAGTCAGAGAAATGCAAAGTAGCTATGAGCGGGTTGAAACGGGCAGATTATGCCAGTTACTCGGTCCAGCCGAAGCTGTAGCGGCTTAATGACACTGTCCAGTCCACTCACCTCCAAACTGCAAATTTTCTCCATCTTTTTCCAGCTTTAATGCGAAGGTCAGCAGATGGTGAGGATACACTAACCGTGCAGGCAGGCGTGGAAAAAAAAGG